GCCAGCGCTCAACCTGTCATCCACGTGGCTGGCCGTGTACGTAAGAGGTGATGAACAAGTGGGGCTTTCCTTCCTTCTTTTCCTTTTCTTGTTTTGTCTTTTCCGCCTTTGCGCTCCGATTCACAGTGTGACAATATATATATTTGTCGGATAGATGGGTTTCTTTTTTCTTTTTTTAATTTTCCGACGTCATTTGTGGACTGAGGAATTAGTACGAGTGTAAAGACCCGCCCGAACACGGACTGAGAACACAGCTGATTTCTGAGTTTTGCCGCTGCCTTGCTGAGATTCCCACTTTCTGCTGAGTTTCTAAGTCTGTGTATGGGTGCTTGCTGGTCTGCGTCCCGGTCCGAGTGCTTGACGGCTTGAGTGTGTGTGTGACCTGCAAGGGTACTTGCTTGCTTGGGAGGCCCCGTCGGGGCGGTACTTACCTGTTGCCGTGACTTTGAGGGTTGCAGTGGCGAAAACACTCAACTGGCGGGAATAGGCCCACGGCACTTTGAGCAGCTGGGTAAAAACACAAGTAGCAGGTAGGCCGGTAGTAGCGGTGGATGTGTCGGGTACTCGAGGCGGAGCAGAAGACGACAAATTTGGCATTTTTAGAGGCCCAGTAGTTGTAGGCTAGGTCTAGGCGGGTACCAGTCCCGGTAGTCTAGGGCTGTGCGGAGGATATCAGAGCCTGCCATGATGTTTCCCAGGTGAGCGAAGAGCTCAGCCTCATTTGCTGCTTGCAAGTTTGGACGTCACACTCTGGAGCGCTGGAGGAGCAGCGCTACTGTCTTAACCCAAAAAAAACGTGCGCACCGTATACGAATACAACGTACAGGGTACGTACGTTGTACGAGTTTTAGGGTACAACTTTGCAGGAGGTTGTTGTAGTAGACATCGCTTTTACTTTTTATTTTCGAATTTGGTTGGGAATTTCTCCTAGACCCTAGAGCAAAGTTGTTTGTATTGCAATTTCGTACGACATAGTATTTTTTGGGATTTTTTTTGGATTATTTTTTTTTTATTCGAAAGATATTATTAATGTTCTTTTCAGAATTTTCTGTTTTTTTGGAAACATTGAAATTAGCAAACTTCGAATACAACATATGGACGTTGTATTTGAATACAACGTACGTAGGTTATATTTGACCGTATGTTCTATTCGAAAAAAATCAGCGATTTCGGAGAACCCATTTCTTCATGATAAGTTGAATAGAACGTACATACTTTTTTTTGGGTTAAGACATTAGTGTGCAGCGCTGTGTGGGGAAGAAGCTTGCCCAGCTCCCCACCTTGGCTATGGTGGAGGTTGGTGGGCACTGCATCTGGAAGACCCCTGTTGGGGTCGAGTGACATTAAAAAGCTTCGAGGCAGGGTCAGGCGTGGCGGCCTGAGTGGAAGCACCCATAGCTGCTTTGTGTTGTCTTTTGCACGTCAGGGCAGAGCCCTAGTAGTGCGCCATAGCCTCAGCCTATGAAGAGCAAGGAGAGAAGGGTGGCCATGGCTATGGTGGACCTCAAGTTGTGCTGGCAGTAGAAGAGGGATTCAGACATTGATTCTGGTTCTGCCATTCATTATTATTATTATTAATTTATTATTATTAGTACTACTAGTATTAGTATTATTTATTGCTTGAATAAGAGGGGAGGAGAAAAGGAGGAGGAGTTTTGTTGGTGAAGAGAAGGGGGATTATCGTTGGTCTTTGCTGGTGTACATCTTCTTCTTTCTTTCTTCTTCTTCTTCTTTCCCTCTCTCTTCTCTCAAGTTCATTCATTTCTTTTTGCAATTGGCTGACATTGTGCTTTCTCATGAATTTGTACTTCAAAATTGGTCAGGATTGTAACATTGGTATTGGAACGGATTTTACTTGCTGGCGAGAGTTGACTTTGCTGCCCCAACCCTAACCTAAGTGGGAGGGCTACCACTTAGGGTCGGGGCTGGAAGTTGAGGAGAGTGGGGCAGCTTGGTATAGGGAAGCTGCCCCCAGCTGGTTAGGTCGACACTGGACCTGACCATGTTGCTTGAGAGTAAGCTTGGGGTGGCGAGACACTTTGAGAAGACTTGGCTGAGGCGACAGTGAGAGACACTCGTACCTGGAATCTGACCTAAGGGAGACACTTGGCGACCTTAGGGCTTTCCTCAAGTAGGGAGCTTGAGGGAAGTAGCCATTCTGCATCGACGAACTACAAGTTGCTACTTTGATCTTCAGCATCGGCAGGGGATCCGGTTGCACTTTGGTGTTGGAGTCAGACCCTCCGAGTAGATAGGACAACGTGTACCTGGAATATGACCTAAGGGAGACACTTGGCGACCTTAGGGCTTCCCTCAAGTAGGGAGCTTGAGGGAAGTAGCCATTCTGCATCGACGGACTACAAGTTGCTACTTTGATCTTCAGCATCGGCGGGGGATCCGGCGTTGCACTTTGGTGTTGGAGTCAGACCCTCCTTATAGATAGGACACCAGTGTAGGGGTAGCGTTAAAAGGGTCAGGAGGACCATATGATTGGGGGGCGAACACAAGTGCAGGGGTAGCGTTGAAGGGGTCAGGAGGACCATATGAGAGGGGGGTGAGTTCTACTTCATCTCAAAACTCAGGCCACTCAGGTAACCGTCGTGCACCTATGGGATGCCCGTGTGTGTGTGTGCATGCTATTGATTGTCCTGTTGAAGTTATTCTGGGTTTCTTTTCCTACTCCTCTATGACCTTGATTGTGTGTACGAGTATGCAAACTGCTTTCTCACCTGATGGATGAAGAGATGAGGTGTCTTGCTTTGGATGCCGTATCTTTCTACAGTGATGGCTGAAAGTCTGAAGTAGGTGTACGATTACCAAAATGTGCATTTGTCTTTTTCTCTCTGAACGACTGTAGTTAGTAGGTTCTTGAAATCCGTTTTCCAGTTCGGTAGAGGCAGAAAGTGGGTTTATGTGGGACTCCTCTTAGTTGGGACTTGGTCATGGCCTACGTGGGACCCTTAGGTTACCCAGTGGGGCCCGGCCCAAGCAAGAAGGGCCCCTTATACCCAATTTTTTTTTATGTCAGATCATTCTCTCTCTGTTTGGGATGTAGAGTTTTACTCTTTGGTTAGAGCACTCGCTGCCGAGGGGATCTCGACTGGTGAGATGTTTCGTATACTTTTACCGCACCGTCCGTGGCTTGACTCGCACCTTATACACCACTCAATTCTCCATTGATGCATGCCGTTACTTGTTGTCTGAATTTGCTGTATGTTCTTGGAACTGATCAGATTGTGCTCGAGGGGATCTCGTACTCGGTCTGATCAGGCTGAGACGCTGGATCAGAACTCATCTGAATTTTTATTATTATTATTTTTTTTTTTGGCTGCTCTCTACTCTACAATAATATAAGAACCGCTAACGTCATATCACACGACCCAGATTGCGGGCCGATCACCACTCGCGGACGGCCAAGGTCGCAGGCCGATGAGAAACTTTTTTCATCGGCCTGTGATCTGGGCCGTCCGCGGGTGGTGATCGGCCCGCAATCCGGGCCGCGCGGTACTGGTTCGTACCGGAAGTGGCGCATGGCCTGAAACGGCCCGCCCAAACGGCCCTTCTGCTTTTTGTTTTTTTTTCGGGTTGTTTTTCGTTGTTTTTTCCACTGTTTTGTTTTGGTCCAATCCGCCTGCCCGCCGCTGCTTCTGAACGCGTGCCCCGCTCCCAGAACCGAAATCGGCCGCCCAGTTTTTCATTGGCCGACTGTATATCTGCCCGCCATTCGAAGGGAGTACGGGACACTTCGGCACACTACGACACTCGATTGCTCCCTCCTGCCCTAGCTCTCTCTCTCTCTATGTGGTGCTCTACGAGCGTTGGTGCTCTACGTGCGTTGGTGCTCTACGTGGTTGGTGCTCTACGTGCTCTACGTGGTTGGTGCTCTACGTGCTCTACGTGCTCTACGTGGTT